CGCTCGAACATCCGCAGAGAATGGCTACCAAGCTGGTCAAAGGTCTACATTCCAAGACCCATGGCGAAAGATGACAGCTACTGGGGCTATGCTCGTCCCAATATCGTCAACTCAGAGTTGACATGATCTTACTGTATCGGAGTTTCCAACAACCAAACCATCCATGTAGATCTATTTTAGTTCTATCAAATACTGTTCAGCTTAGAGGGCATCTACTGAGGATGGCACTCCAAAAGAGCCGTTTCGACTGCAGAGGCCACTCATTTGCAGTCAGAGTGTGCAGTACATGGAACTCTGTATCACCTAACGTGGTCTGTACCTCAACATTACTATCTTTCAAGCGTCAGGTTGATGATACTCTGGCAAACATTGTTTCAACACCTAACTACGTAATATATTCTCCTGTGTTAATCACAAACATTACATTACATTATATTACTCTTTTAATTATATGGACTAACCGTGATCTTGTGAATCGTATTCCGAACCAAAGTGTAAACACCCTATGGGATTTGATAAGCGAAGACTTTGTACGTTTTTCCCCGTATTAAAAATTTGAATTTGAATATAGCATAATTTTCTTCATCTATTTGTTTGCCAACAAGCTCATCAATTTCAGCATTTGACGAAACTTCATAGCCGCCAAAAGTTTTCGACTCAAACTAAATGAAAAATCGCATTCTGCTGAAACAAAATACATGAAATGGAAACCCAGACTAAATCAATGTTTTTACTAGTTTCAGATATTTTTTTAGATGATCGATATTCTGTTCTGTTCTGTTCTCACAACCATTAATCATGCACTTTCGTGCGCCGCTTTTTACTTACTGTCTTTTGGTTGCTCATTTGGATAAAAGAGCAGAGTGAAGATTAGAACTTTGACAGCGGATTCAAGTAGAAGATTAAATTTACATAGACTGAAGAAACAAGGATAATGGGTAGATGCATGATCGCTACTGTTTGCGACAACTAGCCGTATCGCTCAGCGTCTCTAATCATCGGTGACCATCATCCCGGGGTCCCCAGCCAGGGAGCATAAAGGGACCTATGTGAGCCAGTCTCAGAAGATCGATAAAGTAGGACGTTACAACTAACGAAACGTCGCCACCCACATTGCCATAAACATTCTTTCTTCAAGTAAAATAACCATATTTTAGAATCCTGGATGGTTGTGAGTTATACCTTTTACTGTATGCCTCACTCATTGAACTGTAAGGGTCGCACGCGTGGAATCAAGCTGTGCAAAGATGTAACGAGGATGATAAATGATACAATGATCAGAACCTATATGACAAAGCTGAATGTGAAGGGTTGTTGCCATTTATATACCATGCGATTCCTAACTGGGCAATCTCAGAGACGCAAATGAAATTTGGTATTGTATTCGGTTCAAAGAAATCGGTGTTATACGAGAGAATCTCGGCTTTAATGAAATCTACTCACAAGGATATGGAGGGTCCAGACTGCATCCAATCAGGTGATGATTCAGCCTAGCATTCACATCTGATCAATCCGTGCTCACGTGGTTCGCTTCCTTATCCGGTTGACAGAGGTTAATTACCTCCGGATTCGTTCCAACTCGTCCAAAGATCACTCAATCAACGACCTCGTGTTCAATGAGGTACAGTTAATCCTCACCGAACCAATCATTTAGGGGGGGGGGTTCTCGTGAATGAATGCGATTGATTGGATCCATTCAAAGTGATGACGGTTTCGATTCAACTTGAAAGGGTTTAGTTCCAACACATGATAAAGTAGTGATACGTTTTCAATTCACTACCATACGTTTGCTTGCCTCGTTTTAATCATTGGCAGGCATTTTGTATTTCCTGCAAACACGCTATATCCAGTAACCGCCCTCTCGGAAACGGAACGCAGAAATTAGTTATTGAAGATTTGTTTCCTCCCTAATTAATTCCGTGACATAATGACGGCATGTCTAAGGCTCAAACAGCGTACACAGGACTGAAACACCTTTGACCTAGACACTAAAATTAAAAGGCTATGCGTATAATGTGCCACCGTTCGTTCAGTTCTGTTTCACGGTTATGAGTCCTTGAACTGGCCAGTAAAGGATATCCGTCGATGAGAAGTTTTCGATTTTTCATGTTTACGTAATTTAGCCCACGTGATTGGAGGTCAATCACGGATAAACCTGCTATCACATGGAATTCAGATTAGAAGGCTTCGCTGGCTAGGGCATGTATTGCGAATGCCCACCAGTCGTCTGCCACACCGCATTTTATTCGTTGTAGCCCCTCCGAACTGGAAGAAACCACGTGGAAGTCAATAGATGACGTGGAGACGAAGCATGAAGAAATGCACAGAGCCAGTAGGTAGAGTACGTGTCTCTCGCCCCCCATTTTGGGATGCGAAAGACACCACAACCGGTTGATTAGAGACATTGAAGGGCATGACAGCGAACCGGCAGCACTGTTATCATTGTTATCATTTCTTAATAGGTAAGAATGCCTGAAACAGTATTTATGCAAAGTTCCTTTGTGCATTGATTGATTGTGTATTGCCTTCAAAATAGGTCTAATCCCTGTCCATCAAACATTTTATCACTAACCTTGTACGCATTGCAAGTTTAGCCGCAAGCTGCGAAATTCGCTTCACCGTATTTTGCTGTACGATGATGATGACTGTCTAGTTCTGACGAAGACAAACTAGGACATTGAGCGCTTTACTGGATTTTCTGAGAAACTCAATCGGTAAACCGACTGCTCATGTGTCGCGGTATTTCAGTCATTATTTCATTAAGTTACTCAAGATCACTTCAATATACTTGAAGAATCATCTGAAATAACCAGATCAGAATAAACACAAATTGGCGGATAATAATACAAGAAAACGCAAGGTACGAACAGAGGAAAGTGTATGGAAATGTTTAAAACAAAAATCCGGAAGTCTAGGTCACTCGAGCGTACAAGATGATATCGTGTGATTTGCAAATCCCAGTGTGTTGTTACAGTTATCAGATTCGGCTTTTCCGATTGCCCCGTGGACCGATGGAACTTTGAATTTCACCAGAATTTTCTGGATCACGATAACCAGCAGCTGAAGCTAAACCATACGAACAGAATTGGAAAAATAGAGTAAACTGAATCACTGAATCAAATTCGGTCAATGTGATGACTATATAAACAGTATATCCGGGTTGATTAATCCTAGTGAACGAACGTGCAAATGCAGAAAAAAAGATTATCAAAAGATGGAAGTCAAAAGTCAACTCCGTGTGGCCAGTGGATTGGATTTGTCCACAACATTTGAGTGGACAGAACCGATCGATGTAACCGGATGAGCGACGGTTCGTACAGTACCATTATATTGGCATTGTGGTTACTTGACAGTGGCTCGAATGGTGAGAGAGGCTGTGTCAGCTGTCTTGTTGTAATATGATAATTATAACAATAACAATAATCTTTTTTTACTTCCTCGTTTTATCGACTATAGAAAAATTCCAGGAGGGGCCCGCGGCCATACAAAGTCCGTCTGAGGAAATACGAATAATAGAGAGATGGGTGGCGTTGACGAGGTTCGACCACAGGACCCTCCCGTGATTATCTCTACGACCTTTGCATTCGTCCGCCACCACCCAGTAGTAATATACACTTGAGAAAGGACACATAAAATTAGGATATTCCAAACTAGTACTATCAACAGTTTATAATGGCACAAGAAGGCAAAACGACCTAGTCTAGGCACAAAATATCGAGGGAAACGTAACTGACCTTTTGAGAGTAGCTCGAAAATTTCTCTGTTTGTGGAATCAAATTCATCCGGATTTTCTGTGTCTCGCTCGAGCATCCCGGTTTCGGCCAAAGCAAAGCTCATCGATCTAATAAAATCTTCCTGCTGCATGTAAGATATGAATTCGTTCGACAGTGTGCGTCTGGCTTTATAATTTAAGTAATCAACCGCCAGCTTATTATAGCCAGGCAATGTTTTGAACTTCCCTTGCGCGTTGTTCGCGGTGTAGTATGGAGACTTGGCCAGGGTACTCTCAGGTATGCGTGCTGCGACCCAAGGAATGCAGAGTCCACCTGGTGAATCGTTATCATCCTAAGCTGCTCGGGCCTTGCCAGTCAGGTATAATGCATTGACATGGTAACTAACGCGGTCAGTCCAGATCCTGTTCTTCATCTGTAAAGCTTCGCGCATGATGGACTGACAACTCGAGGGGAGGAAGCCAATGCATGTTGAAGTGATGATCAATTGAATGACTTGGCAGCACCAATCAAGTTTATGGCACCCGGCTGGCATGGATTCAAGTCTCATTTTGACGTCATAGTTGATTCGGGGTTCGAGCGTTCGTGCAACAATTCGTCTGTGCGGTTTGCAACTGATACCTGCAGCTTGAAGCGTCGCAATGGTGGAAGCCCAATGGCCAATTGTGTGACAAAGTAGTGCACTGAAAGCCAAGCTGTCAGCATTTGGAAGCATCTTCCAAACCCCAATAAGGAGCTTGTTTGTGCCGTTAAATTCAGCTGCATGCCTGTTGGAATTCCACCATTGAATTTTGGTGGCCATAATAAGACCTCCTGCCACTTTTACCAAAGCCGGATTCTCCCCTATAATCTTGAAGTATTTAAAAAACGTCTTCATAGAAACAGGTTCAGATGTAACGATCCAGTCACCGTCTCTTCTAACCGTAGCGCCATCGTGTACGGTAACAATAAAACCGAGGCGGGCAACAAGGTAAGCGCAGACAGCATACAACTCTAAATAGCCTTCATTGAGATTTAGAGTTTCCAGGACTTGCATAGTTGCGCCAACTACAGCGTAGGACTGGAGCCACTGCGGAAACTTGTAGATCAACCTAGGAACCCGTAGTTTGTATTGATCTGGAACTTCGGCATCCATGTCTGTCGAGAAGGAAAATTACAATGATTCATTAGTGTTTGCCTATTCAAACTATGCACGTTCAAACTTGAAATCATCTTCAAGAAGCTCACCGAAATATTCCTTGGATAACTCGAGCGCAGCTTGATCTGTTTGTTCAACACCACTTCCCAGCGCAGCTCCGGACTCGATGTATTCTGCCATTGCAGCTTCCAGCTCGTCGGATCCGCCTTCTCCTTGAACATTAGGGTTATCTAAAGGTTCTAAACATTGACCTTCGGCCACATCCACAGATCGGGAATCAGTTCTTTGTCTCTTTGCTGGTACTTCACTGATGGCTGTCATTTGGTCAGCATCAATGTGAAGCTCCGATGCACAGTTCGGGGCAGATCCAGCAGTGGAAGTGGATGGCCGGCCTGACAGCCTTGTTCGCTTATAGCTATTTCGTGTACCAACCATGGCTAAAATTAGAACGGAATCAACATTTTGTTGGTCATTTACCAGTATCAGTATTAAAAATGCACAAAAACAAACGATGAACAGAAAACAATTTCTCGTTCAATACGTGTGTTACAAGGAGTTGGGTTATGGATAACTTCGCGTACATATAAAAAGATATCTCACTTAAACAATGTCCTCACAATTCCCGATGGCGCACAGGATAATGGAGAATGAAATAAGCCCTGTTTATCAGTTCGAACGCAGCTATTCGCTCTAAGAGGCCTTGTTTATTGTTGACCGCTGAGAGAAACCGCCAACCTCATCCTTTTGCGTACTACTCAAAAATGTGAGTAGTACCTGACAAACAAGTAATGTGTGTGAGTGTCAAATGTCACAACGAATAGGAGCAAGAAAATGATTCTCATCGGTATTAATGAAAACATATGTTTGATTAGCAGAGTTGATTGAAATACAACTAAAACACGCACCATGGCTGTTGATTTTCTCGATCACCTTCAATTGAGCGACCGCGTGCAAGAGTTTGTGTGACTATAGTTGCAGGTACACTTGTTCAAGCGATGCACGAGGAGATGGATTGGGCAGAGCAGAACAAAAGAATAATTAGCCTAACCCGCCCATGGCTGTCACCTTGATCCAGGTCGATGAACATGTTCTCTCACCCTATCCCTCTGTTCAACCCGACTGCGATTGGTGACCTTTGTCCTTCGCACTGATTTTGTCTAGTCGAATGTTTTTGATGTTTAAAGATTTGTCACTGCCCTGATCGAACTTTCACATAAATGTTTGTATATAGCTGAAGAGATAAAGTGAAACAGTTGGATTCAACCTGTCCGGTGACGATGCTTGTTCTTGCTCTTATGAAATTCTTAAAGGGAACCGGATGTATGTAATCCATCTTTATCGTAAAAAGATTAGTTGAATATTGCACAAAAGAGCCACAATTATGCCGACCAAATTGTTATTTAAAATACCACAACATGGCGATGGGTACGGTCATTTTTTCTGGGTCTTAAACTGTAGATGATGTTCGGTATGTTGGGTATACTACTATCATGAAGCGTTTCTTAAAAGATGACCCAGGGATTCCTATGATCATCTGATCAGCAGTTGTCGGTTTCATCATAAACCTTATTGACCACTTTTGAATGTGTTCCTTCACCCGTTATGATAGCTAATGGTTTCTTCTACCTACCAAGGGGTGGTGGTGGCGCAGTGGTGTATTCGCTTTCACCGGCGTGTTTTGGAGCCAGCGATTGGAATCCCGCCGCCAACACCGAACTTTGATGGCGAGGCAGCTTTTCTGTCGTCCGGTTCAATACCACACCTACCTTAGCGGCCGCTTAGGTGGTTTCGATCAATGAACAGCAGATGTTCCTTACTATGGGGCTTACACTGTCTGCTGTTCATCACACACTGTGTAAAAAAGCCGAAGCATAGCACTGTACAGGAATAGCTCTAGATGATGCACATATACCCACTAACAAGCCTCATTACGCATTGACCATGGTGTCCAGTCATATCTTCTTTTGATCTCGATACGATATACATAGCGGACCCAATGTTTCAAATAAATAACCAGCAGGCATATAATGCAGGTAAATGAGAGATTCAAATTTAACATAAATTGACAATCAACGGGAGAAAGTACTCACGTCAAGATTTGCGGAGTCTGCGTATACAAACAGTGTATGAGTATTTTACGATAGC